GAAGCAGATTTAGGGCATTTCGTAACTCTTGCCAGCTATACTTTGACCTTCAGCCTCGGACATTCTCATCAGAATCCGTGAGGGTAGGGTTCATCATTTCCCTACTACAGGATGAACCCCAGAACTGGGCCCACCGCCTATTAGAGACCCGACATCCGCATTTAAAATCGGTAACGGTATTTTTTGAGGCGATGACCCTATTGTATGATGACCCGCAGCAGGCAGCGACGGCTGAGATGGCCTTACACACCCTGAGGCAAAGTCACCAAGCAGTGGAAGACTACGCTTCCGAGTTCAGGCGTTGGGGTAGTGACACCCAATGGAATGAGGCGGCCCTGCGTCACCAATTCCGCATGGGTCTATCCGAGTCACTGAAGGACGAGCTGGCCCGAGTAGACATACCCGATACTCTTGAGGCCTTGATAACCTTGGCTATCCAAATTGACCGCAGGTTGCGGGAACGCAGGCGAGAAAGGTCCAACCAAGGTCTGAGGCCAACCCGGATACTACCTCGTGCTCTGGCCCAGCCTAATTCTCTTCCGAATGATCGGAACCAGGAGTCTACAGATGCACCTGGACCTGGGTCATCAGGAAGGACGCGGCCTTCACTTACACTTGAGGAACGCCAGAGGCGTCAGGTAAACCGTCTTTGCCTTTATTGTGGGGAAGCAGGCCATGTGGTGCGTACCTGTCCAGCCAAGGTGGGTAAGTCCTCCTCTGTTTTTTTTCTACGGTAGCCTCCAATGGTACTAGCAACACCAGTTATCTAGCTGTGCCTATTTCACTTCAGCTTCCTGGGATAACTGTGTCAACAACGGCAATTGTGGATTCCGGAGCATGTAACTGCTTTATAGATTTAGACTTTGCAGCTCAGCAGCAGATTCCCCTATAGACGAAGGAGGTGGGGTTAAATATCTTCTTGGCTGATGGGTCCTGTATTAGGTCAGGGGTAGTAGACCGTGAAACCCCACCTATTCGCACTACAGTGGCGACCCCCCATCAGGAATTCCTTCGCTTGAATGCCATTGCATCCCCATTGTTCCCAATTATCTTGGGGCTCCCTTGGCTATGAGCCCATGATCCCCTGGTTAATTGGAAGGCAGGGTCAATTCACTTCCAGTCACCCTACTGCCAACAATATTGTCTCCCTAAGACTTCCCCGGCTCTGCAGGCCTTGTTATGTATGGATGCGGATGCAGAACTGGCCTACCATAGTTACCTGGATGTGTTTAGCAAGCGGGGGGCAGATATTCTTCCTCCGCACCGAGCCTACGACTGCCCAATTGACCTCCTCCGGGGGTCCGAAATACCTTTTGGGCAGATATTTCCCTTGTCAGAGCGGGAGCTAGGGGTACTGAAGGACTACATAGACGAAAACCTCCGTAAGGGGTTTATTCGGCCCTCCACATCACCAGCTGGGGCTAGTATTTTCTTTGTGGAGAAGAAAGACAAATCCCTAAGACCCTGTGTAGATTACTGGGAATTAAATAAAATAACAGTTAAAAATCGTTACCCTCTTCCTTTGGTCCCCGAACTGTTTCAGAGATTAAAGTCAGCTTCTGTCTTTACCAAACTGGATTTGAGAGGTGCTTATAATCTATTCCGTGTCAGAGAGGGAGACGAATGGAAGACAGCATTCCGTACCAGATTCGGGCATTTCGAGTACCTGGTCATGCCCTTCAGCCTATGTAATGCACCCGCCACTTTCCAACATTTCATAAATGATGTTTTCAGGGACTATCTGGATATCTTCGTCGTCGTCTACTTAGACGACATCCTAATCTTCTCCGCGTCCTTGGAGGTCCATAGAGGTCACATGAGGTGCATGTTGGAACAACTTCGCCAACACGGCCTGTATGCCAAGGCAGACAAATGCTGTTTTGAAAAGCGCAGCATTTCTTTTTTAGGACTGACCATCTCCACCACAGGAGTGGCCATGGATCCCAAGAAAATCTCGGCTATCTTGGATTGGCCAGTGCCCACTGATAAAAAGGCTGTTCGCCAATTTTTATAGAAAATTCATAAAGACCTTTTCAGGTCTGGTATCCCCCATCACCCAGCTGACTAGGCAGGGGGTCCGCTTCCAGTGGACACCTGAAGCGCAGGTAGCATTTGAACATTAAAGAAATTGTTCACCGCAGCTCCTATCCTGAGCCACCCGGATCCTTCCTTACCTTACATCCTGGAGGTAGACGCATCCGAGAACGCAGTAGGGGCGGTCCTGTCTCAAAGGAAGGGCATTAAGGAGCTCATGCACCCAGTGGCTTCTTTTCTAGGAATTTGACCACTGCGGAAAGGAACTATGATATCGGGCATCGGGAGCTCCTGGTGATCAAGGAGGCGCAAGAGGAGTGGAGGTACCTGCTAGAGGGGGCTATACACCCAATATTAATCTTCATGGACCACAAGAACTTAGAATATTTGAGAACGGCAAAGTGCTTAAGACCACATAAGGCCAGGTGGGCACTTTTCTTTTCGAGATTTACATTCCACATCACCTATTGGCCAGGGTCAAAAAATACAAAGCCCGATGCGCTCTCCCGCATGTTTGAGGACCCTGAAGAGATCCCCAAACCTGATACTATCCTGTCCTCTGGGAATTTCCTAGTCGTCCAAACCGAGCTCCGTTCCAAATTGCAAACCGCATCCGTAGGAATGCCAAGTCCACCTGGTGTTCCCTTACTGAATAGGGAGGGGCTTTTTTGGAAGGAAGGTCAGATTGTGGTACCCGAGGAGGCCCGTACCTTGGTACTGGGCTATTGCCACGATCACCCGTTAGCAGGGCATTTTGGAGTACATAAGACCCTAGAGCTATTACAACGTACATTCTAGTGGCCAAATATGGTCAAGGATTGTGAGGTATATGTTAGAACCTGTGCCATTTGTCAAAGGAACAAGCCTACTAGGAACAGGGCCTGGGGTCTACTACGTCCTTTGCCAACACCTGACAGGCCATGGAGAATGATCTCTATTGATTTTATTGTGGAACTTCCACCCTCTCAGGACCACACAGCAATCTTTGTGATTGTAGATCGCTTGTCCAAGATGGCCCATTTTGTACCATTAAAAAGCACGCCTATGGCCCTTGAGACAGCGCGGGTTTTTATTAAGGAAGTGGTAAGACTCCACGGCATCCCCAAGGATATTGTGTCAGACAGGGGGGTTCAGCTCACGTCTAGATTCTGGAAGGCCCTATGTGAAACCCTAGGAATTAAGCTGTCGTTTTCATCAGCTTATCACCCACAAACCAATGGCCAGACTGAACGGACGAATCAAACCTTGGAGCAGTACCCCAGATGCTATACCACCTTCATCCAAGATGACTGGTTAACACTCCTGCCACTGGCGGAGTTCGCATATAACAATGCGAGTCATTCTGCTACGAAGCAATCCCCGTTTTTGCGAGTTATGTGTTCCACCCCATATTCTTGCCAGACCTGATTCCGGAGGTCACGGTTCCTGCTACGCAGGATATGTTACATTTTTTTTCCTCTAATAGCAAGGTGTTGCAAGAGGCAATGGCAAAGGCCCAGGATGACAATAAAAGGGCTTTTGATAGGAAGAGAAGAGGGGAATTAAGCTTGCACCCAGAGGGACCAGGTCTGGTTAGCCACGACGAATTTAAAAATGTCCTGTCCATCGAGGAAACTGGCACCTAAGTTCCTGGGTCCTTTCCGGGTGAGACGCAAGTTCAATGAAGTTGCTTACGAACGCACACTCCCTGAATCTCTTAAAATTCATCCGGTCTTTCACATGTCTCTATTAAAACCGGCGACACCAGACCCCTTTCCGGATCGTAGGTCTAAACCTCCGGAGGCTATAAACATCGACGGAGAGGAGGAGTTTGAAGTAGAGGCAATCCTAGATTGTAGAAAAAGGAGAGGCCAAACTGAGTTCCTTGTTAAATGAAGGGTTATGGTTCAGAGGAAAATTCGTGGGAACCGGCTCAAAATGTTCATGCCCCAAGACTTGTTCGGGAATTTTTTCGGAACCAGCCACTGAAAAGGGGTCTGTTGGGCATCTGGAGGCTGCCCGTAGGGGGGAGCAATGTCAGGGACCGTGGGCCTCGCCGCGGCGCACGGGTCTGCGCGTGCACAGATTGCCCAGGCACACCAATGTGCGGGCATTAGGACCTGGGCACCTGCGGCGCACGCGGGCGCATGCCTGGCACCAGTGACCATGCAGGGCACACTATTTAAACTAGCCAGGTGGTGATCAGATTGCCGCAAGGTCTAGTTCCTGTTACCTGTTTTCTGAAGTGCTTTCCTAGTTGCTGACCCTGCCTGTCCTGATTCCTGTTGACCTTCTCCTGCTCTGATCCCTGGCTCGTCCCTGACTATTCCTCTGCCTGCCCCTTTGTTATTGGACCTCCTGTTGCTGAACCTTGGCTCGTTACCCAGTTACTCTTCGCCTATTGCTCTGTTTACCGATCTGCCTCCACCGTTACCGACCCGGCTAGTCTGACCACGCTTACTCCTGACTGTCATCCATCCATCCTGCACGGGTCCTGGACCTGTCAGCCTCTTCACATCAGGCTCACCCCTGGAACATACCCTCAGCGGGACCCCTCTACCACCAACTCCATCCCAACCATCAGGGGCTCTGGTGAAAAGGCAGACTGGGACTTAGACTCCGCGTCCTGGGGAATCTCCTTCTGTGGGTCACTAGAGATCCTGCTAGGCGATGCACGACAATCCTCTTCCTTATGTATACCCTTTAAGATCTGATAGTGCTACTGTAGTCCAGTTCCATTGTTTCAGCAGAGCAAGTGCAGAATGCATTCACTTCAAATTGTTTTGTCTTCCTTTGTGGCCTTTTTCAAAATGCTTACATGAACTACAAACACTTACTCAGGGCAACAGTGTAGGTTTTGTGGGCCTGTTCACAATTGTTGCATATACCAATTTATAACAAAGACTGTTGATTGATAGTTACAGTGTATTTACATGTGTGGTATTTCAATTGGAAACGTGATTCCTTGTTTTGTTTGTAGAAATGTTGAGTGTGTACAAGTTTTACAACAAACTGGAGCAGATCAGAGCAAAAAAGACAAATGTGGTCGGTAAGTTTAAATGCTAAAACTGATGTTTAAAATGTGCTCATAGTATCACAATTGTGGTTCTAATCTCTAAAGCAGTGTAAAGATCAAAATAAAAAAATATGTACAGATTACAGACAGGTTTGACTGGTTGATAAGGCATAGCATACATTTACTTTGCACGGCCTCATTAAATAAGACAGTTATTTCGATTAGAAAATAAAATCTATAATATATAGATATTTTATTTGTATATTGAAAAGGTGGGAAGAGGAAATAGGCAAAGGGAAAAAATGGACTTTAGAGGCACAAAATACATATACACTTATTAGTAAAATCATTTCTACTTTATTATGATAATAAGTCATGACAGAAAAACATTTTTAGTTTAAAATTTCCATTGTACAATGTCCGTGCGGACAATGTCACACATCCCACCATACCGAAGGAGCAAGACTAGTGATAAGACATACTGTAACCACCAGGAAAAGTCCTATGGTGGGGTGAGGGACATTATGCCGCTAGAAGAATGGCACAACATGTTTCGCGACACAATCGCTTCTTCAGGGACTGAATTATAAAATCTAAAAAGGAAACACATATACATATAAATATATTGATTGTAACAGCTTGCATCATAAACATGTAAAAATCCAAATGAATATATCATAGAACTTACATATAGTATTTATGTGTGCCAAGCAACGAAAGACCTCCTATTTGCAGGGAGTCGACCTCCTCTATTGCTCATATAGGGCAGGGGGCCATCCAAGAGCCAGATATAGGGGCACAATATTGGCCAGCAAGGTACGGGCCTCATAGGTCTAAAAAACCATATAAGGGAAAGAGGGTCATGACATATGTATTACACCTCTAATTAGGGTCTACACTACATATGGGCTACCAATCTACCTTTATGCTAGGTTACACAGATGATAGCAATACTGATTAACCAAATATTACCTCAAAAGTATATTATGCAGCAAAGAGTTTGGGATTTCCTGCAGATAGCAGAAGTTTCTGTCCCCAAAATTGGGCAGACAATCCACAAAAGAGAAACAGAACAATTCACTCTCCAATATCCAGGATGGAGACAGAAATGGCCAGAAGGATATTCCAAAATATCAGCCCTAAAAGGCAAAGACATTCCCTAATATATTGTAATAATAATAATATGTATGTATATATATATACAGTGGGGATCGGAAGTTTGGGCACCCCAGCTAAAAATTTGTATTAATGTGCATAAAGAAGCCAAGGAAAGATGGAAAAATCTCCAAAAGGCATCAAATTACAGATTAGACATTCTTATAATATGTCAACAAAAGTTAGATTTTATTTCCATCATTTACACTTTCAAAATAACAGAAAACAAAAAAATGGCGTCTGCAAAAGTTTGGGCACCCTGCAGAGTTAATATCTTGTACTGCCCCCTTTGGCAAGTATCACAGCTTGTAAACGCTTTTTGTAGCCAGCCAAGAGTCTTTCAATTCTTGTTTGAGGTATCTTTGCCCATTTTTCCTTACAAAAGTCTTCCAGTTCTTTGAGATTTCTGGGCTGTCTGTCACGCACTGCTCTTTTAAGGTCTATCCATAGATTTTCAATGATGTTGAGGTCAGGAGATTGTGAAGGCCATGGCAAAACCTTCAGTTTACGCCTCTTGATGTAATCCCCTGTGGATTTCGAGGTGTGTTTAGGATCATTATCCATTTGTAGAAGCCATCCTCTCTTTAACGTCAGCTTTTTCACAGATGGCATCAAGTTACCATCCAAAATTTGCTGAAATTTTATTGAATCCATTTTTCCTTCTACTCGTGAGATGTTCCCTGTGCCACTGGCTGCAACACAACCCCAAAGCATGATTGATCCAACCCCATGCTTAGCAGTTGGACAGAGGTTCTTTTCATTAAATTCTGTGCCCCTTCTTCTCCAAACGTACCTTTGCTCATTCCGGCCAAAAAGTTCAATTTTAACCTCATCGGTCCACAGAATTTGTTTCCAAAATGCATCAGGCTTGTCTATATGTTCATTTGCAAAGTTCAAACGATGATTTTGTGGTGAGGACGTAGAAGAGGTTTTCTTCTGATGACTCTTCCATGAAGACCATATTTGTACAAGTATCTCTTTATAGTGGAATAGTGTACCACAACTCCAGTGTCTGCCAGATCTTTCTGGAGGGATCGTGCAGTCAAACGTGGGTTTTGAATTGTTTTTCTCACAATCCTGCGAGCTGTTCTGTCTGATATTTTTCTTGGTCTTCCAGATCTTGCTTTAACTTCCACTGTTCCTGATGACTGCCATTTCTTAATTACATTCCGAACAGAGGATATTGACATCTGAAAACGCTTTGCTATCTTCTTATAGCCTTCTCCATCTTTGTGAGCGTCAACTATTTTCAGTTTCAGTTTTCTAGACAACGGCTTAGAAGAATCCATGGTGCTGATTGTTGGGGCAAGGTCAGATGAGTCTGGGCATTTAAAACCTTTGAGATTGACATCACCTGGTCTTCCCAGACGATGATTGAGAACAATCCATGACACTGGCAGGTCTCAGTGGCAAAGGGGGCAGTGCATGCTATAAATTCTGCAGGGTGCCCAAACTTTTGCAGACGCCATTTTTTTGTTTTCTGTTATTTTGAAAGTGTAAATGATGGAAATAAAATCTAACTTTTGTTGACATATTATAAGAATGTCTAATCTGTAATTTGATGCCTTTTGGAGATTTTTCCATCTTTTCTTGGCTTCTTTATGCACATTAATACAAATTTTTAGCTGGGGTGCCCAAACTTTCGATCCCCACTGTATATACAGTGGGGATCGAAAGTTTGGGCACCCCAGCTAAAAATTTGTATTAATGTGCATAAAGAAGCCAAGGAAAGATGGAAAAATCTCCAAAAGGCATCAAATTACAGAGTAGACATTCTTATAATATGTCAACAAAAGTTAGATTTTATTTCCATCATTTACACTTTCAAAATAACAGAAAACAAAAAAATGGCGTCTGCAAAAGTTTGGGCACCCTGCAGAATTTATAGCATGCACTGCCCCCATTTGCAAAGCTGAGACCTGCCAGTGTCATGGATTGTTCTCAATCATCGTCTGGGAAGACCAGGTGATGTCAATCTCAAAGGTTTTAAATGCCCAGACTCATCTGACCTTGCCCCAACAATCAGCACCATGGGTTCTTCTAAGCAGTTGTCTAGAAAACTGAAACTGAAAATAGTTGACGCTCACAAAGCTGGAGAAGGCTATAAGAAGATAGCAAAGCGTTTTCAGATGTCAATATCCTCTGTTCGGAATGTAATTAAGAAATGGCAGTCATCAGGAACAGTGGAAGTTAAAGCAAGATCTGGAAGACCAAGAAAAATATCAGACAGAACAGCTCGCAGGATTGTGAGAAAAACAATTCAAAACCCACGTTTGACTGCACGATCCCTCCAGAAAGATCTGGCAGACACTGGAGTTGTGGTACACTATTCCACTATAAAGAGATACTTGTACAAATATGGTCTTCATGGAAGAGTCATCAGAAGAAAACCTTCTACGTCCTCACCACAAAAATCATCATTTGAACTTTGCAAATGAACATATAGACAAGCCTGATGCATTTTGGAAACAAGTTCTGTGGACCGATGAGGTTAAAATTGAACTTTTTGGCCGGAATGAGCAAAGGTACGTTTGGAGAAGAAGGGGCACAGAATTTAATGAAAAGAACCTCTGTCCAACTGTTAAGCATGGGGTTGGATCAATCATGCTTTGGGGTTGTGTTGCAGCCAGTGGCACAGGGAACATCTCACGAGTAGAAGGAAAAATGGATTCAATAAAATTTCAGCGAATTTTGGATGGTAACTTGATGACATCTGTGAAAAAGCTGAAGTTAAAGAGAGGATGGCTTCTACAAATGGATAATGATCCTAAACACACCTCGAAATCCATGGGGGATTACATCAAGAGGCGTAAACTGAAGGTTTTGCCATGGCCTTCACAATCTCCTGACCTCAACATAATTGAAAATCTATGGACAGACCTTAAAAGAGCAGTGCGCGACACACAGCCCAGAAATCTCAAAGAACTGGAAGACTTTTGTAAGGAAGAATGGGCAAAGATACCTCAAACAAGAATTGAAAGACTCTTGGCTGGCTACAAAAAGCGTTTACAAGCTGTGATACTTGCCAAAGGGGGCAGTACAAGATATTAACTCTGCAGGGTGCCCAAACTTTAGCAGACGCCATTTTTTTGTTTTCTGTTATTTTGAAAGTGTAAATGATGGAAATAAAATCTAACTTTTGTTGACATATTATAAGAATTCTAATCTGTAATTTGATGCCTTTTGGAGATTTTTCCATCTTTCCTTGGCTTCTTTATGCACATTAATACACATTTTTAGCTGGGGTGCCCAAACTTTCGATCCCCACTGTGTATATATATATATATATATATATATATATATATATATATTTAATCCACTCTCAGTGTATTATATTAGTTGCAAGAAAGAGAGGGTACTCTAAAAAATGCTAGAAGATGGATCCAGCCTTCTACTAGATAATTGGTCTGGAGGTATAAACAGAAATAAAAAGGAAAATTAACACTTAGATCGATTTAATGTGAACACCAGATCATCCTAATAAAACTAGGAATGATCTTTCTTACCTCTATAAAATGATGTCAGTATTCCGTAAAAGTATATCAGTTATCTGGCGGGAAGAAGAGTACACCTGCAACAGTCCAGAAATCCTCTATGAGGTATATGAGTCTTGTGACCCAGAAGGTTGAACATCCCCGGGAAGAATGGTGCCGAGAGACCCACAGCCATTTATAGTGCCCCAGGTGCGGCGCGTCTACGTCAGAAAGTGTGATGTCACCGCGTCTGGCCATTGGTGGTGACGCCGTAGCACTGTCACTACGCATGCACCAAGGAAAGATGCAGCGGGATAGGTCCGCTCAGGTGCACCTGGAGGGACGAGCAACGTCCCAACCATGCCGCAAACGTCCCACCCAAGGGGACAAGGGGCGTCGCGCCCA